ATAAGGAATTTTTTATTTTAAATATATATTGCACAATTATAAAAATTCTTCAACTATCCTACACATTTAAAACTACCAAAAATTCTTTGAAATTAATTTTAATATCTTATTACATCAAAAATACTTTACAATTAAAAAATCTTAACAAGCTTGAAGAATATGTAAACATACTTCATCTTTTGAAACATATAGGTATTTTTTAAATAAAAAATATTATATTTGAATTCAAATTTAAAAGTAACATGAGCTTTAAAAGAATTATATTTAATATCATACATAAGAAGATTTAAAGATATATTTGAATAAATTTAATTATAAAAATTTGAATTTATAATTAATATTAATTTTATTAAATAAATATGAAATTTTTCTAATTTCAAAAGAAGTTTTTATTGTTGATTGTAAATTACAAATCTTTCTTTTCGTATAAGATAAGAGTATTTCCACTAGACATTCAACAAATCTTTTTTTTTTTGGCTAATAAGTAATATTAAATAAAATCTTAGCAACAAGAAGGTCCAATGAACTTTACAAAAATTCAAAACAAATGTTAACAAAAAATACTCAAGATATTTTTTATCTATATAAATAATTACTAGACTTAAAATATTGTCATATTTTGTAAAATTTGTTTGAAATTGCACAAGGCACTTAACTATGGAAGGTAAAATGGAAATTGCAACTACAAGATCCTAAAAATTCTAACAAAATCTTAAATAAAATCCAGTTAAATTTTTAAAATTCTATTAAAATTTTGATTAAATTTATTTTTTTAAAAAAAATTACAAAAAAATCATAATAAAATCATAAATTAATCTTTAAAAATATGTAAAATAAAAAATCTAAAAAATAATAAAATAGAAATCTTAAATGAATCTCAATAAAATTTTAATATAATCTTAAATAAATCCTAATAAGATCCTAAATTAACCTTAATATAATCTTAAATAAATCCTATTAAATCTTATTCAAATCCTACTCAAATTCTAATCAAATCCTAATCAAATCTTCAATCTTAAATCCTAAATCCTAAATCCTAATCAAATTTCAAATCCTAAATCATAAATCAAATATTAAGCAAATCCTAAATCAAATCTTATTCAAATTCTAATCAAATTCTAAACCAAATTTTAATCAAATCTTAATCAAATCTTAAATCTTAAATAAAATCATAATCAAATTTTAATTCCTAAATCGAACCTAAATAAAATTTTAATTAAGTTTTAAATCTTAAACAAACTCGTAACTAATTCAATAACAAATTAAAACATCAAAAATCAATAATCAATTTAATAATCCAAAATCCAAAATCCAAAATCACCTCTAAAACAATATTGATTCTGCAAAGTCTTTACAAAGTCATTACAAACTCAAATCACTTGAAATTAATACTCAAAGAATCTATCACAAGTCTACTTTCAAATCTTTTTTTTTCAATCAATTAGAGAATCTTAGAATTGCCGTAGGTGTGTGATTTTGTGCTTCATGGTCTGATATCAATTCAAGTTCATAATCAATCCACTTTGGATATTAATTTTTAGTTTCTTAAGATAATTTTTGGTAAAAAGTATTCTCAAATCTTTTCTAAATATGTCTATATTAATTATTTTTCTATATATTTTAATTTTTCTCATTTATGGCCCTTCAAAGTAGATAGAAGTCTATGTTATTAAAATGTAATATGAGCACTTATTAATTTTTATTACCTCTTTATTTATTATCTATATTTACAAGATAATTTGATATAATATTTTCATTTAAGCTCTTCTATAATATAATCTTCTTTTTAATCTTTCATCTAATAGTTGTGTAACAAAAGACATCCCTCCTCTTCTTCCCTCCACCTAAAATTTAAAAAGTTAATTGTTACACTTTACAACAAAATCAATTGTTTGACTCAACATTTAAGGATCAAGTAAGTTGGCATCAATTTCTTTACTTCATATTGCAATCTATATAGAAATTAATTGTTAAATATAACATTATCCTACTTGATATTAATTACAAATTATTATAATTATTAAGCATATAATTACATAGAACAATTGTCTTGACTCAAAATACAAATCTTATTGATTGCAATACACACTGCATCATGTTTTTTTTTTTATAAATAAAATATAATTTTGTTAAAAAAACCTCTAAATTACTTAATATTGAAAGATATTTTTCAAAAAAAGATAAAAACTATGATAAAGAAAACTTTAAAAAAATGTTCCAATAATCTTAACTTGTGATTTGAAAATTACATGACTTTAAGGTTGAAGTTCAATAAGTAGTTATACTTGATTGATAAATCCTTAATGCTTTGATCTTGAATCATCAAATTTTTAGAGCAATACAATATTTGGTTCTCTAATATTTGTGGTGGTGCTTGGAAGATATTATTCTATAAGAAAAAAAGTAATATGACTTGCTATAGATATTGAGGTAATTCCAACTATTTTCAAATCTTTACTTTTCACCAATCTTATTGGTCTTTATGGTGGTGAATTGACTTGATGCATTGCAAGTATTAACTCCCTCATTTAATCTTATACATATGCTATTACATCTTTTGTTTCAAAAAGATTTGTTATAATAATACAATAAAAGAAGAAGATGGCTAATATTTACTTGATACAAGTAATAGATAAGGATCAAGAATGAAGGAAAATCTATAATCAATATTAGTTTAGAAGTGGATAATCCACAACTTCTAATATACTTGTATCTTATAAAAAAATAAAATAAATAATCTACTTTTAATAAAGAAAGACAAAAATTTGATATTATAAGCATATTCTTATTAATTTATTTTTTATAAAAAATAAATCAAATAAGTATGTTATACAATATACAATAAATCAAAATTTATAAAATTATATATACATATTTTTATTTTTTAAACTATATATTTAAGCAATGCAAATTTTAAAATGTTTTTCAAAGATGTATGTGCAACACTCAATTTTCACATTAATAGATGCAATATATGGGTTAAAATATAAATTTTATAAGGTGTGACTTGCAAATGCTTATATGAGAGAATTTTAATTGGGAAAAACAAAACAGAAAACACAATTTTAAATGCATAAAATGGTTCTAGACAAAGAAAATCTTCTTTTTCTTGTATAGGTTTATAAGTTAATTCAGTATATGTTCTATCAACATGTTTAATCTGTGACCTATAAATAATTTTTTAAAAATAAAAACAATATATATATATATATATATATATATATATGGTTAAAAAGCCATTTCAGTAATTTTGTTTGTACTATAGAGCAAAAATATCATAATTCTTTTTTCTAATAACACAGCACTTCTAAAAGCATAATTAATTGTGTTTACACTACTAATTTGAAGTATTATTTTTGTGCAACAACAAACACCATACAACCCACAAGAAAGACAAACCAAAATTTGTTCTTTATTATTAAACTTGTTAATAATTATTTCGTAGTTATTGATGCAATCCTAAAGTTTATTAAATGTAGTTTAAAAAATAATCAAAATAATTTATCATTAAAAACTATCCATCTAATATATTATGAGTAAATATAATTTTGTTGTCGTTGGAAAAATGCTTCAAAAACAAGTTCAACCAAGTATCTTTGCAAATCAAAACACATCTTCATCTAATCCAATGCAAGCTAACAGATCAATATCACTTAAAAAAGGACAAAAGGAGAAAATCTGTAGCAATAGAATTTCTGTAGAGAATGAAAGTACTAAGCCAAACTCCAGTGCAACTTTCTGTAGGGACACAAAAATATCTTCACTGACATCCTATTAGAGAACTCGCCTTCTGAAAGTCTCAAATACTCGCGTTAGCACCAACGTTGAACTACTCAAAATCCAACACAAACCCCAAAATTTCCGTTACCACAGAAGGATCACTTTGTGTTTGGAAAACAACGAGGAGAACATAATAGACGAACTTCAATGCAAAAACTCTTGGTTGCGTGGGATGTCACGATGTTGGGTTCCTCAACCTCGTAGGCGGAGATTGAAGTTCCACTCTCAACGACGGAATAGCACTCAAAAAAACACCAATGGTTGGAGTTTTAGGGTTTTCTTTTTTGTTGCATTAGCGATAATCCCGAATTATGGGTGGGTTAATGCAGATGGGCGGTGTGGGTGGAATGGCAACCAGGCCGAGCATCCAGCTCGGGAAGCGAACGGCACCTGGGCGATGCTTGGGTAGGAGAATAACGAAGATCGAGGCACATTCACCCACCATGCTGTAAAAACATTTCCATCTGGCTCGCATACCGAGCTTCAGTGAACAGATTCCACCGCTGCAACTGGTATTTAGTAACAAGTATTTTCGTGCATGCGATGCATTTGTTGTCCATTTTATAATGCGCCATGCATGGCAGAATGTTATGAGGTTTCGCAAAAAACAAGGAGTATATCATGCAACTTGTAAACCCCCTGCCCCCTCCCCCATGCTTTATGAATTTTCTACTTCATCGTCGTCTCCGAGACCCAATGTCTTCACCCATTCAGTCCGCTGTTGAAAACTTGTTACCGTCGCCAAAGATAGATGACAATTGTTGGAACTCTTGTCGGAGATGTGTGCTCGATGTGCCCCTGATAAAACGAAGATAAAACCAAATAGCACAAGATACTCTCGTTGATTTCTTTTATTTTGTTTGTTTTCTTATTCTGCAATATTGTTTTCCTCCTCAGTTTTCAGTAACAGAATCATGTGGCCGAGTAGCAGGAGGTAACTTATGTCAAGAATTACGACGGGGGTTGAATGTTCCAAGTCACAAGGGCCGTCGTTAGCCATGAAAAATGGAGCCAATCTCTGACATAGATGAGAATAGATAGTTGGAGTGGAAGACGACACAGGGGCCAGAATTGGAAGGAGCGAGAGGGAGTGTAGAAGAATTGCGACACCGATGAAACAGCGATAGAGAATGGGTTTGAAGGAAGGAAGGAAGGAAGGGCTATGGTGGACGGAAGAAGATGACGAGGGAGGGAGGGAGGGAGGGAGGAAAGAGAGACGAGAGACCCTAGGATCATTCTCCACCCTTCGAGTGTCCTCGTCGTCTGTTGCCATGGGGAGCAGCGCCAGGGCCCTCTTGAGAAAGGCGACGAAGAAGAAGCAGCAGAAGAACTGATGGCCCTCCATTTCTCCACCACGCTGCTTGCCTGTCCGCCATGCCACTTGGAATTATTATTCCACTGACCCCACCGGGACAACTCCGGTTTCCTCTCCCAACCTCCCACTCGCACATCACACGACTTCCAGCACGGAACAAATCACACTCATTCACACTTGAATTGCCTGCTGCTGCTGCTGCTGCTGCGTCCCCTCTGCAAGTGCAGCCATCCTTCTCTTTCAGTCAGTGAACTACTCAGCACTGATTTCGTGCGACGGTATCCCACACAATTTGTCACTGCCAGCACTGCGCTGGCTTTTGCTCATCGATTGCTTCTTTTTGAAGCGGTGTGTGTGTGTGTGAGAGAGAGAGAGAGAGAGAGAGAGAGAGAGAGATCAAGAGAGGAAGATACTCAATCTGAAGAGCTGGAGGTGGGTTTAAGCTGAACATAGGATTGTAGTTTTAGCTTCGGAGTGAAGGTAGGATACATGGGAGCTGATCAGGATCTGCTCATGGATCTATACCTCGGGAGTTTTCAGGTACTTTGTGAAGCTAGTTGGAGGAGGAGGAAGAGGAGGAGAGGTGGGAAGGGGAGGAGAAGGGATGGATTCTTCTGCATGTTTTGGATCCTTCTTGGTTAGTTGTAATCGTGGGTTCTTGTGTGTGGTTTTCATGCGGTGGGCTCGTGGTTGTAGGCCAACGTTGTGTTGTGAGCAATGTGTGATTTTAACGTGAATGTATTGCTGGGGCTGTTCTTGTTCTTTCCTTCGCGTAGATCGGTTGAGCTTACTCTGTTTTGAGAGAGGTGTATCGTTTTACGAGCTTGATGATGAGGTGCTGGTTTCTTCGAGTTGTGGAATTGTGCTCCACGAGTGCTCGAGTTTTTGTGGCCCACAGCAAGAATGACGTTTCTAAGTAATGCATGAACTTCTTGTTGAACATGTAGGCGAGAAGATGAGCTAACGGTGGATGGTGTATGCTCATCTGTGCGCAATTTCGAAGCGGATTGAATGTTTTCCTTCGAAACGGGAGGAAGAAGTAGTCCTTGTTATGTAGATTAAGCTTTCTGTGGAAGGTCGGCGGTGGTTGGGTATCCAATTTCGGAGTTTGTGATGCGACGAATTCCAGAGCAATACTTCAATTTCTGCTGTAGTTTAAGATCCGTCATGGCTATGTTTTTGGAAAGGATGGAATTCAAGGTGGTTTTGCTGGCGATGCTTCTGCCCTGCCTCTGGACTTCCGTCATGGTTAGCTTTTACTCCCTTCACCTACGATTTCGATTTTCGAACCTCTAAAAAATCTGGAAATGATCAGAGGATGTTTTCATGCAATTAAGGATTATCTAAGATTGATTTGTGAACTATTATTTGGTTTTTTCAAGTTTCCCGAGTGCCTCAATAGATTTACTTTCAGCATGCATTGAAATGTGGAACAACGTCGTTTTCCTTGAAATTATTTTGTAGGCTGGATCTACCTCAAACCACAGCTTCGTCATTGAAAACGATTTGTTTTTGAAAGATGGGATTCCGTTCCGAATTCTTGGTGGCGAGTTGCACTACTTCCGTGTGCACCCACAGGCAAGTTCCTAACGGCCCTCGTTGTGGTTGGATGGGGCAACTCATGGTATCAATTTTGATGAGTCAAAATATAATCTTCTTCTGAGGTTAAACTCATGTTTCTTAATGTCCGCGGTTTTTGTGTTTTGGTCGATAGCTCTGGGAGGATAGACTACTTCGAGTAAAATCATTGGGCTTGAACACAATACAAACCTACGTCCCTTGGAATCTTCATGAACCGCGACCTGGTCACCTCAACTTTAACGGCTCCGCAGACCTATTGTCATTTTTGAAGCTGGCCCATCGCTTGGATTTGTTGGTTATGCTTCGCATCGGACCTTACATGTGCGGAGGTATGGGAGTCCGTGTGAGTACGCATGATCCAGAGTTCGGGTTTTTAATTCGCTTCTGTATGTTCAAGGTCTATCGAGTCTTCAGTATTCAGTGATTTCCTCTTATGGTATGAATGAAGTTCTCATTGAGATCAATATTGGATTGCAGAGTGGGACCTGGGAGGCCTTCCTGCCTGGCTACTCGAGTTGAAACCTTCAGTGAGACTGCGATCATCCGATGCACAGTATCTCGCCCGAGTGAGTAGTTTACTTTTATTCTGGTCCTCTCCCCCTTGCGCACAGTGTGACTGACGATCTCATCAAGTATTGAATATGAATTGTTAAAATACATATAAGCCTATGAAGCATAAAATGTCAGAGCAGATAGGCATCAAACCTCGGTGGCCCGATTCGCAGTTACAAATTGTGTGCCTGATGGACAATAGCTCCTTTTCTTTGATTTCTCACTACAGTATTGAAAGCTTGGAACCTTTGGTGGGTGGGCAGGTGGATAATTGGTGGAAGGAACTTCTTCCAATGGTAGCGCCGGAACTATTCTTAGCAGGCGGCCCAGTGATTATGGTGCAGGTGACTCTACATACTCTTCCCTCAGTATGTCTTTGCTGATTACCGCGTCATATTTGCACCGTTGTTCTAGCGGTTCTTTAATATTTATTTTGAGACAATCAATGCCGTAATAGTCAGCGGTCAACTTGTGAATTTAATTGTGTTTTAATTGTGTTCACTTCTTTGAATATCAGATCGAAAATGAATACGGAACATATGGGAGTGACAAGTTGTACCTTAAATTCCTCCAAAGTCAAGCTAGACTGCATCTTGGTGACGATATAATCATGTGAGAATAATGTGTTCCGCTTGGTCCCTTAATCTTAGTACAAGGACTGGCCTTGTATATAATTTACGAATTACTGCAGGCGTTTTCTTCAACTTGTAGATGTCGTGGACTTCAACATTGGTCTATTCCGTACAGATATACAACTGATGGTGCAGTCGAAGAGAATATACGCGATGGCTCTCTACCAGAAGCTGGTGTGTTGGCAGGTAATTTGGATTATGTAAACAACTCCACCTGACTCTTAGGAGAGTATCTTGACCGTGGACCATTCCGGTTATTCTTTAGGGGATTTTCCACATGCCTATTCTTAATGTAATGGATTTTCAAATTCGTGATCGACTCGCACTTTCTTATTTCCGTAATTTGCTTGGTTCCATTCTCAGCCTCTTGTCGTGGTTAAAAGCGTGAAGGCCATATACATGCTTTCAATTGTTCAGTTACTGAATGGGATAATATGGAATCAAGGATCTCATGAAGTTTTTGTTCTCTGTCATGATCACCAGCCATAAATTTTCAAACAGGCTCCGATCCGGCTTCTGCATTTGCTCTTCAAAAACGTCACAATCCCCCTGGAATGTCACCACCACTTGCTACGTAAGCGCCACATTGGTTTTATTTTAATTTTTGCTAAAAATGTTATTGTTGCGTACGAAAGAGCCTCTATTTCTGTGAAGTTTCTCGTCAAGTTCATGAGCAAGATGATGTTGATATCTTGCGTGAATTATGAGCCGTGCTGCATTTTTATTTCTCAGGGAGTTCTATACGGGCTGGCTGAGCCATTGGGGAGAGAAACTGGCCAAAACCGATGCAAAGTCTACTGCAGAAGCCCTGGATAATATATTAAGGCTCAATGCTTCTGTTGTACTTTATGTGAGTTAAAAAACCGTATGTCATATTTTTACTCCCATAGCATGCAAGAGAACTTCTCGGGAAATGTTTTTACGGTATGTGATAAAACGTTGATCGTATTTGGATGGTTAAGCTTTTATGACTTCAAGTATCACATGAAAAATGGCCATCATAGACTCTCCACTCAGCATGAAATATTCTGCTTGTTTGCCTTGGTTGCAGATGGTCCACGGAGGAACGAATTTTGGGTTCTTTAGTGGGGCCAACACAGGGACAGGACCTTCTGATTTCCAACCAGATATTACATCCTATGATTATGTAAGCACTTATGTGACTACCTGTTGGCACTGTAAAAGTGTGATGCTCACATTAAGTGGCAAAGGGTTAGATTAATTTTCAATTTTAGACACATGCCACTCAAATATTTTTCATAGTTAAATCTATTAATCTTCGTTTACTGTCTTCAGGATGCTCCGATTGGGGAGGCTGGAGATGTTGGCGGTGTCAAATATCAAGGTAGGGATCTTATCTTGCAGTTTGTGGTATTTGTTCCAACATGATCAAATGTAATGAATTCTTGGTTTTAATTTTGTAATCGTGTAGCTCAAACATGATGTCCTGACTTTTTTCATGTATGGTAGTCGTCGAAACCAGTGGCGAAAGCAGAAAGCACAAGCTCGACGATTTCTTTTTCTTTTTCTTATCACAAATCTATTTTTGATTTTATTTGTCTATTCATCATTTCGGTTATTCCCCGCTTGTGCACATTCTTTACTCCACCTTACTTGGACTTTAAATTGAGGTGCAGAAATAAGGAACGTGCTTAGCAAGTACGCTGCTGGAAGACTGCCTGACCCCCCTCCCCTTCCTCAACGAACCGCGTATGGAGAAGTGACGATGAAAGCAATGGGCTCGCTTTTTGATGTTTTGAAGGTTGTCAGTACTCCTCCTGGCGGTATGAAGTTGGAGTGGCCCATGCCAATGGAACAACTCAGACAAGTAATTGTTATCTATCTTGAGCTACTATTTCTGTTTGCATCAACCGTGAAGAAAGTTCATAGAGTTCGAAGTTCAACAAATGCATTTGCATCAGAGGGAAATTATGTTGATAGATCTTGTATTGTCTCGTGCTGAAATTGATAACTTCTGTATCAATCACTCAACCTCTACTTCTTGAACGTCCAACAGGGCTCTGGGTTTATTTTGTACCGTTCATATCTTCCTGCCTACGCACGACCAGGAAGTAGGCTTTCTGTAGTGGAGGTATGATTTATTCATTTAGTATTATGTTTATTCATCGCATGGAAAATTTTCTCCCACGCTCAAGTGATTTAATTGAAGCATATGGATTTAGAGTACTAGACATGATATTAAGTTGTGTAAAATTTATAATTCGTTGGGGCGGTTGTTGGGAGCAGGTGTATGATAGAGCACAAGTATTCGTTGGAAGTGCCACTAACAACCGGATTTTCTTGGGCACATTGGAACGGTGGTCCAGAAATACATTAACTTTGCCAGCTTCAGCTTCTGTATCGGGTTTACAGCTTGACATTCTGGTGCGTCCACAGATCACCCAAGGGATTGTGACCTAAGAGTTTCTATGTACGATGTGTAATGCTTGTGAGTGAGTTTTTTGCAGTAGCTGAAGTAGAGGATTTTACGCTGGTGGAAACCGGTATGATATATTTTTAAGTGGTCGGCTTCTGAGATAACAAAATTAGCGTAGTGGTTCTCTTCCAGAATGTAATGATATTTTTGTATGATCCGACAGGTTGAGAACATGGGGCGTGTAAATTATGGACTCTTCATCGGTGAAAACAAAGTACTACCTCTGCTTTCTTCTTTTCAAGTTTGTCATTAAAGAGAAGTCCATAGATTGTCGTATCGTAACCTGGCTATGTCGGTTTAAAGACATCCAATACTGGCTCTACGTGGGTGCAGTAAAGTTTATCTTGAAAAGGATTTTCAAACTTCAAAGAAAATTGGTCGTGATTAAAAATTTTTGATGTTTGGTAACAACAGGGAATCACCGAGGCTGTATTGCTAGATGATTATCCGATACTTGGCTGGAGTGTACACACAATCGGACTTGACAGTGTCGGAGGCCTTAAGCCATCTGCTTTTCAGAAGACTATCCCTCCACATTTCGAACTGGATGAGATAATCACAACCAAAATAAAGCGAACTCCGCAACTCGTACGTCCGTTTGGTAAGCACTCCTGACTGCATTCCTAGCTGGATGCCGAGGACCTAGCATCACAATCAGATTAATTGAATATTTTATTGCCCATATTTGAAACTTTTTTGTAAAATTATGATTAAGGAACCTTCAGCTTTGAAACTTTCACGACTTTTTCCATCAGCAGCATAACTCGACCATTCTCTCAGCTGAATCAAATTAAGGCAGAGATCTGTCAGACCTTTGTCCTTACTTCGTTCGGTTTAATCAACTTAATCAATGTTGCAGATTATGAAACGGTAATTATAAAGCATTGCGAGTGAATAAATCAACCTATTGTTGGCTGTTGGCAGTGGATCTTGTAAATGGCCCTGTTTTCTATGAGGGAACTCTCAACGTCACGCAGCCCAGTGATACATTCATGTCTTTAAGAGGCTGGAACAAAGGGGTCGCATTCATAAATGGATTCAACCTGGGGAGATTTTGGCCGGTACTTTTTATATATGTGTGAATTTCTAAAATTATCATTAAAATTCATTATTTCTTAGATTCATCTACAATTGTCTTTGTTTTATTCAATTGAGTTTCTATTAAAAATGGGTTGTTCGCATTATTTTCTACGAATTACGAAAAGTTTCTTCAAGGGTTCAGAACCATTTGTAGTTCTAGAATTCATTTAATCCTTGTTCTCCTCAACTGCAGAGTATGGGCCCGCAGTGTACACTATACATTCCCGGCCCGCTACTTCAACCAGGGCAAAATAAACTGGTACGGAATATTTCAGCATAACTAAATTTAATCACAGCAATTCTGTTGAATGACCTTGACATATGAATAACATGCATTAACTAACAGCTCCATTTATCGTGATTGTTTGTGTATGTAACAGATACTTTTAGAACTAGAGAGCTCAAGCCCGGTGCAGACCATCGACTTCACTCATACAGCTGACTTCACTTGCGGGATACAGATGAGAGCATAAAATTTTGTAGCTAATCACACACTTTTCCAAAGATACGAAACTTTAATCACATAAAGGGGCCTCTATGTGTACTCCCCAGACCCTGTACAGTAAAAGCACCAAGCTACAGCTTGCCTCTGCGGTTTCTTCAGCTCACAATGAGGCGGTTCAGTTAGGATCAAATACAGATAGAAATCTATGAGGAGCTGATTTTGTTCAAAGCTTACTTAGTGCTCATATGTTGTTTCAGCTACAATATATAAGAGCAAGGAAAATTCCATTTTCGAAGCAATTGTGGTCAAGAGTTTTCCGCTGGCTGGCTAATCTCAACCTAGTTTCTCCTAGTTCACAACACTGATAAGCTAGCAAGTTGAGGGTGTTGCAATCCTCGGATTCTCCAAGGAACACTTTCATCGTTACGGAACAAGTGGTTGGGCGACGCTCTGACATGATCCACTAACTCATTGGTTCATGCTGTTTTTCTTCGACGACCAAAACGTCACTTCCCATGGTTCTGTAAACTTGCTCCGCAAACTGTTGCACAAATTCCAGACAGGTGTGGAAGAGTCTGATGCCTCAGACTTAGTCCACTTGAGATCGAGCTGGGGAGAAGTGCCATGCGTTGGAGCTTTGCTGTTCGCAGGCTCATAGCTGTAGGCTACTCACCCATCGTCCGGCTCTCTGGAGCTTCGTCTCCAATTGTAACTTAGTACAACTGCCTCCACTGCACTTCTAATCCCCTGGTTTCTGCGTCGTGAAGATCGAGTTGCCAGATGAAATACCAATCACGCTCTCTCTGCCGCGTGATCAGAATTCACCTTGTCCAGCTCAACCCAGACACAGCAACTCCAGGTGAATTCTTCACAGAAGTTACGACCTCAATCTTAAACCCAATTTGATGCTTTGTTTTTCTTCGATCGAGTCTGCCCATGGAGGTGCACGCTGAGGGTGCTGCGAAACTATGCTACGTTCTTTGTCATAGAGAATCCATGTTGCTCGAAGTACGGAGTTCTATTTTCAGCTTTATCATCAACAGCAGCTGGACGAACAACAATCCAACTTGGCTACTTTTCTCATTTATTTGTATATGACTATCTTGAGCCCTGGACTTGTCCGAAGTATTAATATCCTTCAGAGGAAGGTACAGTTTTTTAGGTCATTGATGGTTATATTCATTGCCCCAGTCCAGAAGAATAGGAAGTTTAATCTTTCGACAAAAACAATAAAAATCCCTCACTACTTGCATTCGTACTCACCCCAGACATCAGCTTGTTGGGGTTAAACGCTAGTGAATCTCTTTGGGGTCACATGTTTAAGAACTCATGGGGCTGTGATTATGATACACATTGGGTTGAAGACTGATGAGATAATTGGTGATCAAGCTGCCTTTCAATCTTGTCAACTAATTTCTCATTTAGTGAACTTCTCAAATAGATTCTTAGAATTTATGATATGTCAGATAATAATGATACTCTCTACTACACAATAAAAACTACTTCATATATATATATATATGGGACTTGTTAAAGCCACACCCCAAGTTTGTTGAAGCCACACTCCCTTCCCACTAAATGATTGATTTTGTACAAGTTCTACGTCCCCAATCCCGTTCCCATCCCAACTCCACCCCAACCCCACCCCCTTGTCCTGACCCTGCCACCCCGTCCCAACCCCCCCCCCCTCTCCATCCTTGATCCACACAAAGCATTTTTAATTTTTAAATTTGAATAAGTCATTATTTTTTATTTTTTTCATGCATATTATTTATTTATTTATTCAATGATCAATATTAATTTCATAAGATATATTTCAAAAAATTAAATTGATCAATGAAATAATTATATAATAAAAATTTTAAAATAATTTATTTAAAAAGTTTGCTTATATTGTTTGATTTAGTCTTTAAGAAATAATTTTCTTTATGTATTTGGTTTATATAATGTGTCTTACATTTTTAAAATACTATTCATGTATTAGAATTATAAAATCCAGCTTCTTAGAAATAATAAAATATTTTAAGTAAAAAAAATGTATACAAATATAAAAAATAGAGAATAAATAATAATAATAATAATAATTTTTTGTTAATTTATCATATTTACAATGTTTGAGCTTTTAGTATACATACTAAACCTATGCACAAACTATAATTAATTGTTTTCTTGGATATATCATATCAACTTAAGTACTATTTTTTTAAATGCTTTTTAAGTAATAATTTCTAAAGTATCTAAGATATATTTTTTTATTATTTTTTTCTTTCTTCATCTTCAACCCTTATCTTTTTTATTTTTTTCATAATCAATCTATTATTATATAATTAAGATTTAAGAAATTGAAGGGAAAAAAAAATGATATTTAAACAAATTATAATGCTTGATTTTGGAATATCAACAAGGTGGCTAAGTTGGGACAAGGCAACCCAAGATATAGTAGTGGGATTGGAACAAAGGGGGTAGGGATGGCATGATAGGGCCAAAACATAGGGAGTGGGGTTGGGGTGGGGAGGTTGGAATGATGGATGGAAATGGAAGAATGTGAAATAGAAACAGAATTGGGGACATGGAACTTCTACAAAATCAATCATTTAGTAGGAAGAGAGGTGTGGCTTTAATAAGTCCTTATATATATATATATATATATATATATAATTTTTTCTTCATAGAAATTTCTAAAATTCTATTTGAAAGATAGATTAATTAGTGGAAGATATTAGATATTAAAGCAGAGAGAGGTTTTGCATAGTGACTTTTGACTTTTCTTCTCTCTTTCAACACACAATTTCTCTCCACTTCTAAACTTGCTTACTTCATCAACTCTTTCTTCTCATTCTTCTTTATTTCTCTCAACCATTTCTCATTTCTCCCAACATACTTTGTTTGATCAACAATATTCACAAGTCAAGTTTTTAGTAATGTTATACCTTTTTACAAGAAATTTAACCAACAAGTAATAACTATAAAAATGTGAGCATAAACAACTCCATTCTAAAATTTAACAAAAGACTTGGCCAAATGGACAAAACAACAATTTAGTTTGTTTAAAGTTGAATCTCAAGGTACTATTAAAAACATTCTAAAGAGAAGCAAATATGAGAATATGAAATATATTAGAAAAAAAATCTGCACATTTACTTTTTTTGAAATGGACATAGTTCTTACAAACTAAATGCTTCAATGCCAAGCTTATCTAGCAGCTTTATTAAGTGATTATGAAAATAAAAATAAAAATAAAAATAAAAAATTGGCATTCAATTAGGTGTTGACGAGGTCCATGAATTTTCCAATTATTTGCTATCCAAGTTCCTAAGTCATCACAATTTCAAAAAGTGACGTTGCTTAGCAAAAATGGTTTTGTTCACAATGCAACCATTGAACTAGAGTCGTTTGCACTACCAAAAAAGATAGCATTGTATGAACCATGAAAAACATATTATATGGACAAAAATGAACTCTTTTATTATATAACATTTAATAATACATGCCTAATGCCAAATTGAGATCCCAAAAAGAATAAAAATGAAATCTTAACTAGTTTTTATCACCATTGCATATGATTTTGATTAAAAAAAATATTTTTTTTATTTATTAGATATGCTCCAAAATTACAAACGTTTAATTAACAAAGCATTGAACAACTCAATTCTTATTCACAAATCATTCAAAAAGCTTAAATGATAAGAAAGGTTTTTTAAAAATTAATTACACAATTTTGAAGATATAACAAAAATGGCTTGAAAAAAATATTGCTTCTATTGGACAAAGCCTTATAAAAACCAAAGGGAATTTGGAGCTAACAAACATTCATTTATTGATGCTCTTAACACATGAACCATCGAAAATCTAATTCAAGGATGCTACAATTATTAGACAATTTAAAAGAAGATACCCATCATATCAACTTCAAGATGCAATCAATAAGCATAAACACCAAAAAATAGACATTAATAAAGTTGACAAGTTAATTGCCATGAAATTGACCAAAAGCAAGAATTAACATTTCTTAAGAAACAATTGCAAATTACTTATTCAACACAAAATTATACGAATTTACAAACTAATACAAAAATTTGGAGTTCAAAAAAAAGATTCAAGAAGATCAACTTCAATAAGAGCCTTGAGAAGCAAATAACAAGCTCCTGTAAGGCCAAAAGATGTCGATTTGATCACTCCAATGCAGGAAACACAAATTCCACAGAAAGAGACCTAAGACGAGGATTTTCTTGAACTTGCCTGTGTATAAAATGCTGAAAATGAACTAATCATTCATAATACCAAATCAAAAAAAGTCTTCATGGCTAAAGAAAACAAAATGGATTGCTTGCAAAGTATCATCCAAATGCTTGCTACGGCAAAAGTTTTTGAGCTTTGTAACTTTTCATAACTTAACATATTACAAAAAAAATAAAAAAATAAAACACACCTAACTCGATTCATACGCAACCTAACCACAACTCCAATTAATCCAAACTCCTCTTTTCGATTTCAATCTTCAATTAGAAAACTCTGTTCTCCTCATCAACTAAAATGATAACAAGAAAGAAAAACATATTTCAATCAACAATTTAACAAAAAGGTCCTCAAAAGACTAAACTCCCTTGAGAAACAACTTACTCAGCTACCACTTTATAATCCTTTCACTGTTTAAAAATTACAAATCACACAATGTTCATTTTCTACTCCAAAAAGCCCAAAGAAAATATCATGAGGTACAATGTAGCTTATCCTTGTGTTGCATTCATAGTATTACCTCCACAATATTTGTTGGATAAATCTCCAAAAGTGCTTCTCGAAAAAAACTAAAAAACCAACATGAAAAAGCGTCAAAAACACAACCAGATTCTACCTATATTTGACCCTTCAATCATTGCTACCATCAAGGCATGACTATACATATTTGGACTTGTAATACCAAATTCATATCGTCCATTCTCTCATCCATATCACAAAACCAATCCCCACAACCACCACAACAACAACATCAATGTTCCGCCGTGGACCGAAATCGCACAACGCTGCAACTCAAACCCCCTCCATCACAACTGCCACACAGCTTCTCAACACTATACTCGTCACAAGCTCAGCGTCACGTCCCAACCCCGTCACATACTCCACACAATACGACTCCCAATACCTACTCAAATGTGCCACCTCGGTGCACTATCATTCATTCATCATCACTTTCTTCTCGCACTCACCCACGTCTCCCCTTCGTCCATCAACTTCCAAATGACCATTACCGCACCCTTCATCTCGTCTTCGTCTTGCATTCATAACAGCCAACTGAAACCACACACTCCTCAATACCATCACATCATTCATCCCCCCCCCACCTCCTTCCACACTTCCGCTCTACCCTGCCCACCATCACTGCGTCCCTACTCTCACAGATTGCTCCCATATTGCCCCCCCACCCCCGCGCGACCTCCACTCCAACATGCACCGTCTCCGCGTTCTCACATACAACATCTCCAAAGCCCCGCCATTATGCTCTCATCCAAATCTTCCACTCCACGCTCTCATCTTCAACCTTCGCGTTTCCGCAATGCTTCTCTGCCCTCACCACATATCGGACGGAAATCCCACACACCCTCGTCCCGCTTCTGGGAACTTCTGTAACTGTCAACCTCCGTCCCTCGATTTACACTCTCACCACTTCTACCCTGCTGCTGCTTCTGCGAACACGTCATCGGGGCCGTCCAAGTCTCCTCGCTACAAGCCCTCCAACGGGTCCACCACGCGCTAAACGAACTCTCCGCCCAATTC